GACCTGCTGGCCACGCTTCTTTTGATGCAGCCCAGAGTACGGTTGGCCTTCTGGGCTGCCAGCGCACATTGCCAGCTCATGTCCAGCTTTTCATCCACCAGCACCCCCAAGTCCCTCTCGGCAGGGCTGCTCTCGATCCTTTCTTCCCCCAGCCTGTACTGATACTGAGGGTTACCCCGACCCAGGTGCAGGACCTTGCACTTGGCCTTGTTGAACCTCATGAGGTTCACACAGGCCCACCTCTCCAGCCTGTCCAGGTCTCTCTGGATGACATCCCGTCCTTAAAGAATTTTAAATACTCTCCCAAGTCGAGGTGAGGAACCCACACAGCAATGGGCGGAGACACCTCTGTAACCAAAGCCAGCAGTGCCTGCATACGGCTAAGCCCGCTGGCAGGTACTCTGCCCGAGGCTCACTGGCTACACACAGCTCCTTGCTTATTCTTCAAGAGGAAGGGGTTTTCTATTGTCAGTTAAAAATTTTGTTGTATTTGGCCCCTTTCACTTAATGTCTCAGCCAAGTTTTGGTAGAAATAGAGGGAGATCTAAATCTGGATTTATTTACTGCAGAATTGCTTTGGAGAAGGCCAAGGTGATGTACACGTACCACTGGAAGCAGAAACAGGAGTTATTTCTTTGAATAAAATATCGGCCACTAATCCTCTTCCTCAGCAGGAGAGGGGTAAAAGCAACTTAACACATGCTTCTAAAGGATTTTAGCATCTTCTGAATTTTCTCAGACACATTGTCTTTTATCACTCACTGCACCCTCGCTCTGTGTCACTACTGTCAGTATCTGCCACGTGCAGTTTCACTGTACACTCCCCCAACAAAGAGCATCTATGAGCAGCAGAAGCTTTTAAAGTCAAGTATGTAACTGTGCGTGAAGAACCAGTCTGGAACTACTTCTTAACTGTAAACGTTGTCTTGCAATACCATTGCAAACAGCTACTTACCCTTTCATCACTTATCTTCAGGACTTTAGTCAAGAATAAGAGTAACAGATTAGTCCAGGCCTCCCGATGACTTTCTGACGTAAGAGTGAGGAAATAACTCAGAGCCTCGCTGCAGACACTAGAGAGGAAAGACACAAAAACTAATGACCAACATTTCACTTTGAGCTCTAACTGCAGCGAGGTAGCTTTGCCTTTGCAACTCCACCAGTGCAGAGCCCTGGTGCAGGACAGCGTCCTTTTACGAAAGCTACTGCAACCCTGATCAGTAACAGAAAGCAATGATTTTGTTCAACTCAACCCCAAAGTTCTAGGACTTCAGTACTAAATATGCTGACAAAACATGGCAAACATACGCTGTTTGTGCATATATTTAAAGTGTATCAAGTGCTCTTTGGGGGGTATTAAAATGCACGTGACAAAATGACATGTAGACTTTAGAAGTTAATCATGTGCCGACATAACCAGGTAGTTTTCAGCTCTGCTCCCTGGCCTATAAACCTTAAAATACTTTCACTGTGTTACTGCCATGGTTTTGAGCCCTCTGTTATTCCAAAAGTTGCTTGAACAACTTTGTAAACTAAAAGCATTCAGGTGAACCATAGTGTTCACAGTAATGAACCACCAAAAAGCCAGAAAGCTGCTGTATGCCCACAGGCTCCTCAAGCCCAGCGCTCATTTCTGCAGATGAGAACAAACAGTATCGCTTCCCTAAAATATCTGAGGTTACTGAAAGAAAAAAGCAGAGCGACAGTTACTTTTCTTTTTGAAGAGGAGCTGTAACAATCCCCCACCTACCCACGTGCTACCAAAAAAAAGAAAAAGAAGGTGACAAAACCTTAGTTCTCTCCTGCAGAACATATAACGAGAACAAAAAGCAGAGGCAGCGTTAGTAGCTGGAGGCACAGGACCCTCCATACAACATAAAAACTCTTAATATCAGCTGTGACCACCACCACACAGTGTTAGCTCTAAGAAGTTTACTGCAAACATTCTTTAACATCAGAAATAACATCGGCAGGTTCAGCTACATGGACCTTACTTTAGGAGTCTTTGCTGGACTTCCTCCCATGCACTGGTACGGCTTTCATCCATGTACATACGGAACAGAATGCGCAAGCCGCAGGCAAGACTACTAGTCTCCTGTTTCAGAAGATTAGGCTTAGATTTGCCTTTGAAACCTAGAAAAGTTCCAAGCATCCATTTAGATTTTAGTTTCACCCGACATTTTTCCTTATGGTCCCCACTTCTCCTTCTAAGCATCTTCTGCACGTAGACAGTCAGAAGAAGCACCGTTATGTGATTAATTTCTCACAACATTCAGTACAATGGAGGACTGCTAAAAATTAACCTATGTATATACAAGGTAACTGTGTTTGGCACCCATTCTTATATAAGCTTCCAAGTAGATGTGAAACCTGGGTGTATGATCAAAGCACATTCTAACCACCTGAATGACTGAACATTTTGTCTCAATCGTGTATCTATAGCATATACTGTTTTATCACTTGTTTTTGATAAAAATGTCTACAATACTACTGTTTCCAAAGCTGTTACTGCAAAATTAAACTCAGTTTGCTGGTGGAGGCCAATACTAGCCAAAGGCGCACCCATAAATATTAACACTACCTCACTCAAGCTGAAGCAGTTCTGTGTATGCACACATGAATGCACAAAACAGCTTGCTGCATATTTACAGTATGCATTCACCATTAAAAATATGAATACAGCTAACTTTGGTGCAAGGAACAGATTAAACACAGTGCTACGGAGGGTCCATTTTCCATCCGTTTCAGAAAATGGCACCTATTTCACTTATACACAGGGTAGGTAAAACAACCCCCCTAACAAGTTTTGGGGTTGTGAGCCTGCAGCTTCCAAGCACAGGACTCACACCTACAGCCAGGGACCAGCTTGGCAGCCATAACCCAGCAAAACCTTACGTTTTAGGAAATGGAAAAGATGTTTGCACCTGCACAGGTGAGGTCTCCTCCCCCTAGGGATCCTAGGGTTACAAAGTTACAGCCTGATATTCAATTTTACATTCAGCATCAGCGCTTTTGACCTATTTTGGGGTCAAATCAAAGCACAGTAACACATTCTTGCAAACCATTTCTCCAAGGTGACTGACTCACCTGCCTTCCAGAGAGCAGTTCTTTGTTCGTTGTTTGAATTAAACGCTTTAGCAAACCTGTGAGATTCCAGCAGACAATCGAGAAGTTTGAAAAGCTGCTGTGACGTTAGAAAACGATACATCCCTTGATCTTGTGTATCCACATGGACATCAAAGTCTACTGCATCTCTCTATTAAAAAAAAAACAAAACAAAAGAAACAAGAGATTTGAAGTAAAAATTCACAACTGTCTTGAGCAAGCTCCTGTGATAACTCAATCCTACATTGTTTTCATCCATACTCGTATTTAAACTTAAAACTGTATTAAAAGTTATATCCATATCCCAGTTACGTAAGTCCCTTTCAACAACACATGCTTTAATCTCCACAGCGTGCTGCCCCAGCACAGCAAATGCAATCTGATGCAAGACGTAGAAGATTTCGACAGTCTGCTGGAAGTTCTCAAGCGCTTCTAAAAACTGTAAATTAGAAGATGTTACAAGAGTTTATGAAACTTTATCTACTAGAGAAAAAGCTGTTAAAAAGGGAGATCACCTATCAGTTCTACTTACTTGTGCTGCTGCTAGATTCTCTGCATCCTCTTTTTTGCTAGTTGCTGGGAAGAACACAATATTGTCGATAGTCTGAATGAGTTCCAGTTGTACGACGCATTTGATCAAAAGAGCAGCAAATAACTTCTGTTCTGGAAATTCTTCACAGGAAAGAAAAAGAAAATTGCTTGTTAACTAAAGATTTTTTTTCTTTTTTCAGCTCTTTTGGGGATAACTTGAAAAACAGCTTAACTTCAAGCACATTTGTAAGCCAAACCTGGAATCCACCCATCTGAATTAAAACCAGGACGGATCACCACATTAAAAACCAGCAGGTTTTAAAAAACTATTTCCTAACTTTAAAGCTGCTTACCATATATTGGACAAATATTCAATGTTACCTAAAAATCACCAAAATGAGTGACCTTATGGTTAGCATCCGTGCAGTGGCAAGGACCAGAGGCTGGGACTGCCCATGGGCAGAGGAGGCTTAGGATAGCACTAGTAACACCGAGCTTGCTTGCACTCGTGGCAGGTACTAATACCACCAGACATGAGCATTTTAAGCACCAACACATAACTTTGAACAAGTATCTTAAGGCTTTGATACACTCTCTTCAAATCAGTCTAAACCTTTTTTCCCAGCTGTTGCTTCTGCTGCATTCTGCATAGAAGAACTTTGCTCTTAATTAAAAAAAAAATAAATTACTCATTTACATAGCATTATATGGAGAATACTATTTTTAATATTTTGCTTTGGGTAAAAAGCCTGCAAGTTAGCAGCTGAACTCTAGATTGTTAAAACACAGGTCAAAAATGTGGACCCACGAGAGTCCAACAGAATTCATACTATGTGAAGACAAAAATTTCACCAATGGAATTTTCTAAACATCGTGTTTCTAAAGTTATAGCTGGGGCTATAACTAAAGATATCAAACATCTGCTAAATACTATTCTTAACAGATATAAAATGCCAAATCACTACAAAACACGCACTTGCTGTTGGCCTGGTTTTACTCATTTCTTCACCTACTGTGGGCCCTGCGCTGGGTTGATACGGACGTCCATCTGAAGATCTAGGCTGAATAGAATCGTGAATGTCTACTGACTTCTGTGAGATTGTATCCTGAAAAGAAAGCACAAGACAAAAAATTAACTTACAGAGAACTTCTGTGAGCTAATCATCAGTAAGTGTTGTGCTCCTCAGAGCTTAAGACACTTGCAGTTTCAACGTTGCACTTTTTCATTCACTTTAGTCATATTTGATATTAGCATTCAAGACAGATGTACTAAAAAGATGACCTAATAAGAAAGAATTGAAAATTTAACAAGCAACAAATACTTAATTGTACAGCAAAGTCAAAGAGTAGTATTCTGCACATAGATTTTTCGTATGCCACCCAAGCATTTAGTATGCCAGCCAGCAGTTAGTTTGACTTTTACCAGATTAAGTGAATGGCGTTTGCTGCAAGGTTCCGATACTGGGAAATGCAGTATCTACCTTGATGTACAATAAAAGCCTCTAACAGCTTCTGTGAGAATTTGTGTTCCTTCTGTAACGGGTGAAAATGCGAACGCACGGCTCTTCAGTGCAAGTCCAAACAATGTAAGATATCAGCAAACTTTAATCTTTATGTTCTGAATTATTAGCTCCTACTAACGTGTTTGTAGATGCTACAGGAATTTACCACAGTAAAATGATGGAGCAAAATATACGCATATCAAGAAAATGCTCCAATCTAAAATTCATTTGCCGGAGAGCTGCTTCAGCAGACTTCTGCAGTGTGTTCTGATTCTCCATGTTGTATTGTGCTGTCTTGTGAGCTCAATGGCTTTGGAAGATGACTTGTTGGGGTTTTGTTTTGTTTTTTAATAAGTATCTTCCTTCTTGATCAGTTGAATGTAAAGTATTAAAATCTTTGGTAATACCCATTGTTTTCATTTCAGAAAGCATTCACTGAAAGAGGGAAATGTAATTAATAACAAAATGTTATCATTAACTGCAAAGCAGTTATATATAGTGATTACTGTCCCTTTCGATAACCCGGCATTTCTATTGGCATTTGGTCCGTAAGTCCCACTGGAGACTACACATTAATTCCCTGCACTGTGTTGTTAGCAAAGTTTGTATCTACACATACAGTTCCTATAAGGAACATACCAACTTCTCATACCAGTAAATAACCATTCTCTATTAAGTATAAATAAACTTTTAATAGATATTATGTCTAAGTGTAGTAGAATGCTTCACTATATAAGAAGTACCTGAAGAAAAACTAGCTAGAATTACCTAAAGCCTGCAAAAATTATATCCTACCAAAAGAAAGGATCCCAAATATACCTCCTTTAACACTATTTATTATAAAAGTTCTGTTAATTTTTGATGTTAAAAATTCTGTTTTAGTAAGTTTTTAAAAAAAATTCTATTAATAATAAAGTTGTAAAGTGACTTTTTACACTGAATACAAAAAAGATTTTTGAAAACATTCACATTACAACTGTTTCAAAGAGAAAAGATCTTTCAGTTTATTCATGACCGAGACGTTTAATAATTCGCCATTTTTTGCATGCTATTGTATTTGACATAAAGGGATCAAAAACGTAGCCAACGTTTAGATCAAATGTTTTATACATCAAACCACTACAAATGAGTCAAGATATAGCAAGCACATTCAGTCACACGGATGTAGAATACCTACATAATGAGAACTGGCTATCACAAACCTTCACACTCTGTTTTAAGTACATTACGTTAACATTCCATAAAGATAAATGGAGGGAGTCGGTCTCTCTTAGTAGAACTCATCTGGGACCAAACCCTTGAACAATTTTTATCAAATGCTTCATTAATCTATGAAGAACTTCGTGCAGTGATCTTGTGAGAACATCCAAACTAATTCTCGTCAGTAGTAAAGGAACTACAGGGCTGCCACTTGTAGGCAAATCCAAATTTTACATCAGTTTATTTAATCAGTGCAAAGAAATCTGATTGTTATACATATTTTCTATTTTAAACACTGATGTTTAAGTTCTTATTACAGAGAAAATTTGAAGGAAAAAGAAGTCAATCAAACTGGCAACCTTTCCACCTCCGTCATTTTCTCATCATGCCAATATATCAAAGAGAATATTGAGCAAAATAAACAAAAACCACACCTCAAACCAGAAAACATCTCGAACCCTAAATACAGTATGACAGAGACCTACCAGACACGGGACATTACCTAAAACACACACTGATAACAACCTACAGCCAACTTCTGGAAGCCAACTTTGCTGCAAACAAACACATGCTTCTCTTTCTCAATTAATTCCTTGCCATTTTTAAGCATTAAATAGCACTTTATTTGGAAAAATCTTTTTCAAGTAAATAAAAATTGAAAAATGTGTTTAAACTAAGTATACTCTTCACTTATTATACATCACAACACATTTGTACCAAACTCTTGCAAGCTTTTAAAATATTTTTTATTTTAGCAGCTTACCAGTTTTTCTTTTGCATCAGAGGGAGATCCAGCGCCAAACTCCCCAGTGACCGGTCGCCAAGTCAGCAGCCTTGAAAACACAAAACCAGTACCAAATTTAGTAAATTTGAAATACAAATCAGAACCTATATTCTAAACAATCCACTTCAATATGGTAGGTTTTTTGTTTGTTGTAATTTAAACTGATGGAAGGTAAACATGAAAAGAGTCGGATATAGATACTTCCATAAATTAATAAACTGATTTCAGTTTGAAGCATACATTTTATTCTTTCACACACACTGAGAAAATGAAGTATTGTGTTTTTTGAACTTCAACGTTTCTGCCAATTGCCCTGGACAGACAACTGGATTACATGGAGGTGCATTAATTTTTCTCTGCAATAACTGGCTTTAGGCAGTGCTCTAGTGCCATTAGTGGGCCGCCTTCTCCCACACTGCCTTAAGCTTTACCTGGAATAAGAAACGAATCTACCCCAGAACAAATCAGCATGAACGTCTGGAGGTTTTGCGGTCTCTGTTTGGGCTATGTTCCAGCACTTAGGATTCAACACTTCCACTTAGGATTCATTGCTGTTATGAGGTACCAAGTCACTGACAATACTTCTGATCTCTTCCCTGCTATTTTCTTACAGCACGTTGCTGTCTTGAGGATCTTCGCCTTAAGCACTAAAAGGCACTAAAAAATTTCTACATGAATTGTAACTTATTGAGGCTGCCTGTGCCTGCCAAGAATTGAGGAAAATTGAATTAAATAACCCACGTGGTCCCATCACCTTTTGTTCTATCAAATCTATTGCTACAAAGTAAGATTAAAGTTGTTTGTCGTTAAGATCTCAAAGTATCTAGCCTCAATCTCTGTGTGGCAACACTTGTGGACATTTGTGTCTGCGTATCCGAAGTGAGATCTTTCCCACTGTGTTAAGGATCCTAAATTAATATATCACTGATCTCCATACAACTAAAGACCATATAACTAAAAATACACATTAGAGATAAGAAAAAATAAAATCTTGAGGCATGTAATGAAACAACAAATAAAACAGAGCAGAGACCTGAATTGATTCTTGAAAGCTACCAGGACACAAACTGCAGATTATTCTGGATTAGAGGTTGTTAAATACAGTGTAATTTATTTGGGGCTATAAAGTCTTAAACATCCATCTGCCAAAGGAGGTATTGGAATAACGAGCAATTATAGGCCAGATCATTGTAATTTATGCAAGTGACCAATTTTAACTTCTGAATTTCCCAAGGACAAGAGGGCATTCACCTTGGCTTTCTTGGCGCCAGCAAGCCAAGACTTGCCCTCATGAAGCTTCAGAAAATGTCAATTAAAAAAAATTATAAACAGAATAGAAATTAAACAAAAAGAAGAATCAAAGAAACTATTAAAATGAGCTAACGAGGTATGGGCTGGATGAGCAAACAGCAGGGTAGACTGAAAACTGGCTGAACAGCCAGAGCCAAGAGGGTGGTGATCAGGGGCATAAAGTCTAGTTGGAAACCAGCAACTAGTGGTGTACTCCAGGGGTCAATACCGGGTCCAATTCTGTTCAACATCTTCATTAATGATCTGGATGATGGGGCAGAGTGGACCCTCAGCAAGTTTGCTGATGACACAAAACTGGGAGGCGTGGCTCATACACCAGAGGATCATGGTGCCACCCAGAGGGACCTCGACAGCCTGGAGAAATGAGCTGACGGGAACCTCATGAGGTTCAACAAGGGGAAATGCAAAGTTCTTCACCTGGAGAGGAACAATCCCATGCACCAGTACGTGCTGGGGGCCACCCAGCTGGAAAGCAGCTTGGCAGAGAACAACCTGGGAGTCTTGGTGGACATCAGGTTGTACATGAGTCAGTAGTGTGCCCTTGCTGCAAAGAAAGCAAATGGTATCCTGCGCTGCATTAGGAGAGTTGCGAAGAGGTGGAGAGAGGTGATTCTGCCCCTCTACTCAGCACTGTGTTCAGTCCTGGCCTCCCCAGTATGAGAGAAACATGGACATCTTGGAGAGAGTCCAGCAAAAGGCCACAAAGATGATGAAGGGACTGGAGCATCTCTCCTGTGAGGAAAGGTTGAGAGAGCCGGAACTGTCCAGCTTAGAGAAGGAGCAGGCTCAAGGGGATCTCATCAATGTAGATAAATACCTGAAGGGAGAAGGCAAAGAGGATGGAACCAGGCTATTTTCAGTGGTGCCCAGTGACAGGACCAGAGGCTGAAAGACCACACACTGAAACATAGGAGGTTCCCTCTGAACATCAGGAAACACTTTTTTGCTGTGAGGGTGACCAAGCACTGGCACAGGTTGCCCAGGGAGGCTGTGGAGCTTCCCTTCTTGGAGATACTCAAAAGCCAGGACATGGTCCTGGGGAAATTGCTCTGAGTGGCCCTGCTTGAGCAGGAGGATTGGCCCAGATGACCTCCAGAGCCCCTTCCAACCTCAGCCATTCTGTGTGATTCTGTGTTAGTATCTTCAGCTATCAACACCTCAATGATTTTGTGGAAGCTTGGCAGGACTACAGTTTGGGCTTTTCTAGTAAGTGATCCTTGTTGGAACTGGTAGCTAAGTAAATATTCTAGTACTAAGTTTTCCAAACAAGGACATAATATGGTCATCTCTCTTTGCAAAAAAGGTAGCTTGCCAAAAACCACCAGAGGCTAGTACCACAACTAAGAACTCCCGCAGGCAATGCTGCAACTGTTAAATTGAAGAAGTAAGTTACACAATACCTGGATGATGTTTTATAGGAATGCTAAAAAAGATCGTATGTAATCCTACCTGATCAGATTAATAAAAACCTCTGCCAGAAGATACTTTACGCTCCAGAGATTCATAGCATCTGACTATTTCAAGACAATTAGCAATAAAGCACTTGCCCGTAGAACTTTCATATATACCACAATGCAATTTGACTCTGTCTTAATTTCAACATTAACTCCTGTGTTACTTCCATAGATGGGAAAACAAAGGTAAAAGGGGCATTTGCTGCCTCCTCTAAGTGCTGGGGTAGCCTCCACAACAAGCTGAGTATTCAAACCGTGTTGGGCAAAAAATCCCCCCCAAAATCCCCTAAGGCTGCAAGGGCAGAAAAAGCTCCATCACAAAACCAAGGCTAATAAAGGGCCTAAGAAATATGAATATGAAATGCCAGCCAAACTAGGAGCCACAGAAAAGAACCAGATCCCATAAAAAGGGAGCTGTACAGAAGCTGTATGGAAGGAGAAAGAAGTACTCCTAGGGCTCATAAAGAGAAGTCAAAAAAATAAGTACAAAGTCTCCACTAAAAATATGAATGAATACCTGTATATTGTTACCATAATTTTTTCTCACCCATCTAAAAAGCCTCAGCTTTAATCAAATATGGTCCAAGTGAAAAGACTGTTTTGAGCAGTTTTGTGTCACCCAACAATTGTTTGGAAAAGAGCAGGCATATTTTCACCATGGGATTACATACGCTCAAGGGATTATTCATGTATAAAATCGAGGTAAGATTTACTTTACCCTGCAAAAGTTGGGAACCTCCCAGAAATATAAGGAGGCATAATATAATGAAGGCATAGAAGGCATAGAAAGATTAAAAAAGGAGATGGGAAGTCAAGAATGTAAATCTACGGAAGGAGTGAGATACCCTCCTAGGAAAAATAACCCATTTGAAAGCAGAAGTGACATAAACATCAAAAGGAAACACACACATATTTCAAATAAGATATGGCTAAAGGCAATGAGAGTAATTTTTATGTATCTAAATATTAATATCCAAAATGCTACTCTAGAAGAGTTTCTAATACTCAACTGTAAGAATACCCAGAAAGCTAAGCTTTGATCATATGTGGAAACCAAAGCAATGTTCTGCCAGTGAGTATACACTTCAAAATCTTTCCAAGTGTGGAACATAGTAAGTTATGGCTAATTCAATTGGAATTTTACATCCAGAGATTTGGTCTCAAATTTTATTGTTGGCAGTAACCAAAATGCAAAAAAAAGTATCTTGCTAGGTCCCAGTATTATTTTTTGGATGCAATTAATTCATAGCTACTCAACATTGAAAAAGTAGGTGAGGTAGTGACAGATGGATTAACTTATCTTTTAAGCATGAATGAAGCTCTCTTACAGTGCTATCTGATACATAACTCTAAAATTAAGGAAAGACTGAGGTGTAGAAGGTTGCCTTTTGCTTCAGTTTTCTTCAGGCCTGAACTAGGCGATACCCAGAAGCAAACGCTATGAACTCGTTGACAGACACAGGACAAGTAATAATACAACGGTTCAACATTGAAGCTATCAGATTTTAAAACAGTGTTTCACCGCAGTGATGGTAGGGTATGGGAAAATCACCTCATCTTTGGTATGATGCTGGATGTGGTTTCTTGTTATTCTGCCCTATGGTATATACACGTAACATACTACTCAGAATAGTGCAGCCTTGTTCCAAGAAACTTCACACAGAGTTATAACACGAAGGGAAAGACTGTTACCAAATATGCAAGATGATTTTCATAGAAAGATTAGGATTCATAGGAACATACGATAGAAGTTAAGCATCAACCACAGAGACTTAAATTTGTTGCATTATTTTAGTGTTTTGTGGAAAAGCTTCACATGTAATTACAAATTCTAAAGTCTGCCTATCAATAGCATTCTTCTATTACAAAAAGTGAATGACCAGAAAATCAGATAATATTTCTCAAAAAATCCAACATTTTAAAATTGAATAAAGTTACATTTATTTGTTTGTTTGTTTTTTTTGCTTATCTGCTATATGGTATTTCTAGTTTTTAACAGTTTATCATTTACAACACAAAAGTAGTATATCTACCACCTAATTTATCATTATGTTCCAAGAAAGTCTGCTTCTATTTAGATCACACATAACAGCTTTTTGTTCACTCCACCTATTAGATATCTAACATTTTGAAATCAGTAAGTCATCTAGCTAAACTGTTTTACAAAGTATAAATATTTAACAGTCATCTTACGCATGAGGGATTGTAGTTTTGAAAATATCCAGCATGCAAGTACAAGTTTTATCCCAGATTTCTAGGGTAAACTTTTCACCATTTAGGATGACAACATTCTCCAAACAATTTGTACCAGACCGTGCCAGTTGTTCATTGTCTGGAAAAGACAAACAGGGCATTTGTTTATTCACATTCAACATATTAAAATGTTAATTAACATTGTTTAACGCAATTTGGTACAGTCCTACCTTGCTGCACACACCAGTACAGCTGTGCAAATATATCATCCAAAAGAACATCACTAAGTACTTCTAAATACTGTGTGAATACATCACATATTGCATAAAGTGCGTGGTTGCAAGTAGTTGTCATCCATTCAGCTTTCTAGGAGGGGGGAAAAAAAAAAAAGTTACAACTTTTTTTAAGGTGGACCTTTTAGGATACACACCCCTGCAGGCAGACAGATATATGTATTTGCTCAATTTTAATTGCTTTATAGTGACATGCCATTCCTTTCTAGATCTCAAAACCCCCAAAACTTGGAGCTCCAACTTTTGCCTTGCTAACTAGCAGGTTTAAAAAACTAAAGAAACAGAGAAACAACTATTCTTGGGGACCAGATCATTGGACTGACAAGCACTTACCATCATAAGATAACTGAGTTTGACATTGAACTTGGTGTCTAACCTTAGCTCAACACAAGCCTCATTCCATTGAGTACGCTGCCATGAAATTATGCGTGTCTCAGATTCCAGACACCATGTGTAAAAGCTGCAGTTCGTCTTACAAGCCCTGGATATCTTGCATTTTATGCTATTCTTCTCTTGTTTGTAGTGTAAACTACTACGCCTTTTACACACATGGTTTAAAAAAAATTAGCAAAGTGACAATACTTCCAAAAGAATGCTAATAAAACAAAATAAGGCTACTGGAACCACAGGTCAACCATGCAAGTCTTGAGGTTTGCCTTACATTACTTGATAAGCTATATTACTAATTAGGTTTTCTACTGCAAGTATAGATCTCATGTAAATTATCTTCCCCCACTTTTTTCACCTCAGTCTGCTGTTCTGGCAGTTTCATGTTGTCAAATATCCTGAAGACAATCCGAAACAAATCTTGCCACCAGTGTTTTTCGTAAGTATGGCCATATGTCTTCATTATTTCAAACATTACTGTTAAACCCCTGAAATGAAGAACAGCATATACTAAGAATTACAAAAAGACATGCACTAGACCAAATATGACCAACTGCAACAGCAGTAACAAACTCAAATACTCTTAAGAACATTACATATTGATCTGATGTGGATCAGTCACACTAGTACACTGAAATTAAATAGAAAATCAGCTTGTTTAAAAAGCACTTAAAAAAAAGTCACAGGCAATAGCCAAAAAATACTTTTGAGAACTGTGGCAATTTTCAATTAAAATAGGAAACCAACTTCTTTACAAAGGACCACAAAAATAAAGGAATGAGTATTTCCAGGCAAGAAATACAGAGGTCTAGAAACGAGTGTTAATCTTCACCAGCTATAAAGGGAGTCCAGATGCACAGCTCACATGTGGATGGGCAAATTTAAAATATACAACCTCTCATATTTAGCATCAGAACTGCAACAGAATCCACTTTATAAGGGAAAACCCCTATTCAAGGAAAACAAGCAGGTTTTACATGAAATCAGAGCACAGCTTTGCTTTTTCAACCATTTCTGCAATCCTCAACCAGTTAATGAATCATAGTATAAAACCAGTTTTAAAATCCTCAGAGTAAGTATGATGGGCAAGACATAGGAAGGCAGACAGGTCATACTCATTGCATGGAGCATTTTACATTTGTTTTAAATAGAGCAAAAATGGAAACGTGACACGAAGCTTACCCGGGTCAGCTATGACAAATCGCTAAAATGGAGTAAGTAACATGGCATCAAACATCATACACTTACATTTACTAATGAATAGAGAGATCAGTATTGCCACTGGAAAAATACAGATCTGGCTATAATCCAATATAATACCTGATTCAAAAAAAAGGGGGGTGGGGAATTTAATGCATATTGACCACTTAAAAGTTGACCTTCCATGTTAAAATAACATTTGCTTGTTATATGTTAGGGAAGTTAAAAGTTGACTGTTACATTTTACTGTGTTCTATGCATAAACTGCCTCCATCGCATCTGACTAAGTTGCACTGACCTGTTTTAAATAGTTACAGGTTCTATAATAAATGGAAAGAAGTCACTATATTTTAATTTACTTAAGCTTTAATTTATTTTCAAATGAACTACTTAAATAGTTCTTATCTTTGTGATTTCATGGTTGTTCATCCTAAACAGGCACTATTTCAATATTTAACTTTAAGGAAATGTAATACTTACCTATTTAACATAATGCAATCACAACCATGTAACTTCATTGTTTATTATAATGGAAGACAGAAATCTCATATGTAAAGAACACAGACTTAATTTCTACATTCCAGCATCTATTTAAAAAGTCTTTTTAAAAAGGCTGGTGTTCACAGTGATACCATCTAAATTAAATACATAAGTCATTTTACAACAACTACATTTACTAAGAGAGTTGTTTCTGTTTTAAAAGTGTAAAGTAAGCCTTTTAAAATTTGAATTACAAATACTGATTGTTACCTGGTTCTTACATCTAATTTGCATCTATTGATGATACAGGACAACTCAAACAGAATTGGGAACCATCCTCGCACCCACACTCTGTCTTCGGGAGCTACATTCATATCATCACTTGTGTATTCCTTGAATGCCTTTAGAAGAAAACACAGGGTTATAAGAGAGTCCTAAGAGTTAGATTCTTCAACATAAAACACAATTTGGACTGCAAATAACAATCTCTGCCATACTAATATTACTCCCTGATACCTCAGGTGAGCTGGCAATTAAAATAATAATACTGAGAAGGTGAAGTGTTTTTCAAAGTAATGCTTAATAGATTATGAAAAATAAACTAAAACAGCTAAACGAGAGGATACATTCAAGCATCAGTTTTTGCTTGCAGCTCAGTCTGAATCTCTTGTTCTCTTCTTATAGAGACAGCACTGAAAGCAAGGATCTACCATAACATTTTGAGGATATCAAACATTTTAAACATTTTTGCTTATGTCATTATCCATTCATGTTTCTCAGTAGAGAGCAGATCCAGAGATACATTGATTTCCAGCAGCTCTCAGGAAAGTGAACCACCAGCTGAACTGGGTGGATGGGGATGGGGGGAGGGGCATAAAAGGAAAAAACAGTAAGTTGCTGATCTTTTCAAAGCCCATGGCATTTTATACTCCTATTACTTCTGAATGAAGTACACTTCTCATTAATCTCTGAAAATTGAAGGGAAGCCAACAAGGTTAGCATGAGTACTTTTTTCTTTATAAAAGCACTGTTGATTAAAGCACTTAGAATTTAGTTAATATAGACTATACCTGAGGTCTATCAGATACATATTTTGCACAGTGACGAATGAGGCGGATCGCTTCCATACTGGTATCTGGAAATGCTGCATTGCAGGCAAATTCAGACAAGCACTTTACTGCATCCTGGAAAGAATCTATGGTTGCTGGGAAGTGTTTTTCAAACACAATTGCTGGGGAAAAAAGTGTGAACAGAAGAAAAAAGTGTTATGCTTTAAAATTTATTAATTCTAGTATGTACTGATTGTTAACAGTACATACTGTACTGTTAACAGTAATGAGAGACTGGCTCATTGATAGGTGCTGTCAAATGCTTGAGTAGTAATAAAAACTGAAAAATAAAAGCTCAACCAAAAAAAAAAAATCACCTAGAGAGCTTTTATTTGGACAGTAAATAAGTCTTTAAAATAAGTAAGTCTTTAAAATAAATCAAGGTACCATCTACTCTAAAGGAGGGAAATTTAAGAGTTAAGCAAGAAAAGAGCAATAGGCTTACTACTTAACACCAGTCTGTGTGATAAGAGCTTAAGAGGGCCACATAAAGCAGAGAGTTACATCTACAAAGGGACTTCCCTAAACAATATAGCCCTGTTGCCTTGCTTCTAAATAGTCTCTTTTGAGGAAAAAAAAAAAAATTATTCATCAATGCTGAAAAAGTTTTAGGAACTTGCAGAGGTTGAGACAGAATAGAGAGCTCCCTTATGGCACTTAAAGCCTGAGATATAGATTAGAATGGGAAGGGGGGGTGGGGTGGGTGGAAATCACGGTGCCACCTAGTACAGTACTTTCTCCTGAACAGGGCCACAGACAAGCACAATTCAGAAACAAGGAAAAATGTAAGCAAACAACATAATAGTAAAATGACTACACAATTCTTTTTTCTGGGGGGAAAAAATATAAAATACTTCACTTAAACAAAAATGTACACGGTAAGTAAAACTTTTACTACAGAATGCTACAAACAGGTAATTTTTTTTTTTTAAATGCATAAGACATAACTATAATCTTACTGAGTTATTTTCCCAAGTATTTTCCCAGAGGATTGGTTGAAAACTGTAAAACACTGGTTCTAAAGCAAGAAGTGGGTTTTACTAGGCAGGCTGTAGAGCCAACAGATAACAAAGCCTCTCAGTCTCTGGAGTCACATACACTTTCACGACGCCTGAATACTCACTGACAATGTGTCCTGTAGTCTGGAATGCAAGTTCCACTATACTTTCATCCTGATCTGAGGCTGCCAGATGAAATACTGAAAAAATGTTTTTCCAGCCAGAACGAATGTTAGCAGCCTGGGAATTCACCATCTGTGCAATACAGCGTACAACCATGTCTCGAATAGTAGGAGACCTAAATTAAGATAATAAACAATAATTGTTTAAACTAAATTACATAATTAATTAGGATAGTATAATTCTCCAGCAACTGATTTTACAAAAGCAATTTGAAACATTAATTGCAAAAGTTGGGTGCTCGTGATCCCAGGTGATTCATTAATAGTATGTTAGTACCTGTTTCTCTTCATGATATGTTCAAACGGTCTTAAGAAGTCCTTCTGGAATCGGAAGTTAGCAAGTTCTCCTTTTTCTAAGAACTTCATTGATAATTGCCTTAATGAGTCTACTGCAAAAATAGCTACATCTTCATTGGGATTGCAGCCAACCTGATAACGTAGAACAGAAATGCACAGTAAACTTGCATCAGTATTCTTACCGATTCAGCCCAAGCTGCCTTTACATTTGATAATGGAGAACCAAGCAGTACTGGAAAAGTAATAAACAGTAGTCAATTCCATAAACTACATTGTTAATGCAATTCAACAATCCCTAACCAATTCCAGATATTTTCTGCATTATATATCTTAGTATTTAAAACTTTCTAAAAATAAGCAAGCTGTCTAGAAAGGCTTCAATAAGCTGTATTAAAAATGCACATCAAATATTCACCTGATAAATAGTCAATTTAGACTTGAACAGAAAATAACCTCTTATCCTAAGCTTCAGAAAACACCCCCCAAAATTAGAGCACATAACTAAAGGCAGCCAGATCTAGACCCAGGTCATGATAAATAATGTATACTCTTGCTTTTACATTTATTATATGTATACCTCTGCCTTCTCACAGGCCTTTCCATTTTTAAAATTTTTGTTTTCCATCTTTACAATTTTTGTTGTTTTAAGCTACTTACACAGAGGGATAGAAAAAACAGTGTAACACAGATGAGCACATGCTTTTCCAATAAATCTCTAAATAAAATTTATTTGTATCAGTAATTCAAGGAGTATGCAGTATAATCATTAACAGGGATACCTTATTAAAATGATCTCCAATAACTTCCCAGATTCTAGACCACTGTAGCCTTATCCGGCCCATGTTGTAGTAAGAAATCTCTACTATCTTCTGCAGACTAAACATTCGAGGGTGGGTAGCAGACAGCAGTTCATCCATAGATACAGCACAAAGCCAGCGAACAAAATCCACTGTTAAATAACCACAGATTTTAATGCAGTATTTTTCCAAGGTTTAAGACAAAGCTGCTTTGTACTTTATGGAGCAGGGTGGGGGAAGATAAAACCTACCAATAGCATTTCCATCCAACCTTGTAGATCCCGTAAATATCCTGTAAAAAGCAGTTTAAGACATTGTTACAATTTCTTAAAATGTATTCAAGATTTTTTTAATATATACAGACACCTCCTGACTACTATTGTTTATTAAAAACAATTAGCAATTGTGCAAGAATACTGAGAAATCAGAAATATTTAAATTCCTTCTAATATTTAAAAGTAACTTCCTTAAGCATGCGTGGAGACTGGGAGGTGAGCATTGTTTCTAATGCTATCCGCTCACTGACAGTGACTGATGAATTATGTCAGTAATTTATAAACTATTCAGCCCTGCTTCAAATACAGAAGTCAAACTTCTCCAGAGGGCACAATTCCTATTTGCCATGACAAATAGATACTTGAAACACTTCCCATTACGAAGTGGGGAGAAATACTGCAAACCTAAAGAGCTGTTATGTGTTTGACATTAAGCCTCCGGTTCGCTTGATGTGATTTTACTGCAAAGCAACTTTCATTGAACTGACATCGATCTTGCTGCCTATACTCAATCACAGAAATGCCTGTGAGCCTTCAGAATGATACCCCTTTGTGACTGTCAATTTTGACAACCATGAAATAAATGATGTTTTCTGATTTCTTATACGCTGAAAGCACAAGATCCATTAACACTCCAGTCTGATCAGTTCTTTATGATATAAACACGGAATGTTTATTATATGCATTATGCCTGATCAAATCCAGTTATGATAAATATGATTCATAGAAAGGAAGACTGGAGTAATAATTTTGGTAATTTTGGACATCTACATAACCTAGAGGAAAGCAGGGAGTCAATAATTACATTTAGGAGAAAAAAGGTTCTGTCAATAATGCTCCCTGTACTAAGGCAAAATGAGATTTGCTATGTGTTACTATAAATAGCAAATCAAGATTCACTGGACAGTACAGCAATCTCCATTTGCAACTCTCCCGTAATAATTTTGTATCAGTAAAAAGGCTTCTTGCCTAATCTTTGTTGTGTTTCTTCTTGCAAAAATACTTCTGCTCCACAAAAAAAGGAAAAAACCCACAAAACCAAAAAGCACTTTAATATAGTAATATTTATGTAGTTTTTTCCAAATAGGGGTAAACTAATAATGACCTATTATTAACACAGGGTATTCAAATATTGCTTAAAAAGCTTGAGATGACAAGAGCAAATGTAATACAATACCTGTCTACAGCAACGACAACACTTTGGGAGCTAGTTTCACCAATGGATTCCTGAATACTTGCTATCTGCTTCCAATCCACGTTTCCACCAACTACAGTGAACAAAATTTGAAAAATGGGTAAGAGAGAACACAGGAAGAGCTGGGAAGAAAGAGGAAGAGAAGTCGTGCCACTACTGGCATAATTAAATATATTTTTAATTCACAAAAAAGAGAAGTACATTATTAACTTCCCTTGCATGAGCTGGGCATCTCAGTAAACAGCTGCATGTTGGTCTAAGTCCTAATTCTCTAGATTCTCTATCCATGTATAAACTGTATTAGTCCCAGGAAATTGTCCACATTTGGAACAACTGTATGAATAGATACAAGTGAAATCTCAAAAGCACAAGAACCACCTTTTTCTCTCCATCTTCCAATGGATCTTTGGTAATTCTGCTACTGAAAACATACAACATATGTCAGAGAACACCACACAGAGGACAACTTCTCACACTTTATTAGCAGCAAGTGAGTAAATCCATCCTGATAGGTTTTCTTTTTAATCATTCATAGAGAAGTGCTCCCAACAAAACTCCATCTTAAAGCTATAACTCAAGAACAGCAAAATTATCACCTGAGAACAGTGAGAAAAATCTGTAAATAAAAGTAGCAATACTTTTATTTATTTTGGAGGTTAGAAACTGTAACCCACACCTGGGAAAGCTCACATTAAGAAAATGCTAACTTCACAGTGAGCAAATTTCTGGCAATCTCTAAGCTCCCCTCCACCCCCCATCAGAAAAAGAGCAGGAATCTTGCAACCAGTCTAGGTAATTCCACCTACCCTGTATTTATTTTTTTTTTTTCTTAGGCAGCCTAACAGAAAGATAGGGGAGAACAGAAGACTGAAAGAAGGCTAGCAGTTCTGTTCTCAGAGCTTTGCAGAGACAAAAGTTCTCAAGTTTCAGACTGCCTCCCAAAAGTCTGCCTCTGAGTCTTGCTGTGCTCCAGATGACTGGCTGTCAAGTCTAGATAATCCGACCCATCTGAAGTAATTTTCTAGGGCATTTATGGAGTAACCTTTCTGTACATACATGCATACATACGTAACCTTATACTAGTATTTCAGCAACTTGTAATACTGTAGGGTTTGATCAAGACTTCTCTTGCAAGCACACAAGCCGCCAGCATCAACTAGCTTGAATCTTGGTAATGCATTAACTAAGAAATGTGTCAAAACCAGCAGCTGTGTAAAGTGAATTTGAAGGACTATTTCCAAGAAGTCAGGTAACCTTAACCAACTCTGTCAGTTTACATAAGAATTCCTTATTATTGTAAGATTTATGATTAATGGTGGAAAACCTAAACAGACAGAGTCATATTCCAACAGTTACGAGACCTTTTACAATGAAACAAAGAGTCACCTATGTAATTCTGCTTTACGAAGAAATGATTCCTCAGATTCCCATTGTCCAAAGAGGATTTCTGGTTACCTAAGTACACTTTGGCTATGACCTACTCACAGCAGCGTGTTTTGTCTTCCAACTTTGTGAATAGAAACTAGAATGGAAGAAAGCTGAACTTCATGCTTACAACTTCAAGTAAGACAACATTCCTACCAAAGAAGCAAAGGAATAGATGCTTATTTGTTTACTTTTACAACCCACATGCTTGCAATGCCCTGAGTTTTCAAGTAAAACATGAGACAGCCACATCAGGGAGATAATGCAAGAATGATGAAGCCATTCAAAAGTAGATGTCTGAAGAGTGTACACTTGAATCCTTGCTCAGACAGTAAATGAGCAAAGGGATTTCTGGGGTTGTTTTTTTTTAAAAAACACATACTTCTAGCTTCAGCAAGAAGAGTGAATGCTGCTGCTTATGCACATCTGATTTTGCAAGCAGGGTTGAAAGATGAAGCTTCTGTGTCACCAGACTGCAACTTAATTTCTCCAATTAAACAACTATTTTCCTGTAAAATAGTCTGTATATATGGACATATGCACTATTGGTTTTTCACAGGAATTTAGGTTTATAGAAAAGGTTGAAAGCCGTAGTTCCAAAGGATACTTCAAAGTTATCACAGAAAGAAAATTAAAGTATCTGCAACACACGAGTTGTGGAGAAGAGTGAAAAAACTAAAACAGTTGACAAAATTACTATGTTCTAACAGCCCCTAAGTGCATGAAAACCAAATTCCTTTGAGTTAGGCATTTTCATATTAGATTGAAGTGATATTATTAAAAAAAAAAGAAAAAAAAAAAAAAAAGGTTAAGTTTCCATATGTAGACTGTAACAAGCATTCCAGAAATTCAATTCAAAGAGAAACATTTTATGCATTTGGGCATAGACTATTTTCCTTAGAAATGCAGTTGACAAGAGGGGAAAAAGTCTTTATGAGCTGGATCTATACCAACAAGTAGCAAGTATGGTTTAGAGATACCTGACCACAGTTTACATTCTTGAGCTATTAGGACTTAAAATTTTTAAAGGCCAGTCACTTCAGCATAGAGAAACTGCCAGTATTGGAAAATAGCTAAGTTGGATAGGTCATCAGGGAACACTAAACTGGAGGCTGCATATTAGAAGGGCAGGAAAAAGCTCAGTATACGAGACATTGGCAGACACATTAATTTCCAGGCATAAAGTTTCCCTTCAGCAACCCTTGGCAAGGTGAGGAGGGTACATAGAGGCAGGCCAAAGGAGAGCACAACGGAAAGAAAAGGGCCGACTGCAGAACAAGAAAAACTGTCTGAGGAGAATGCAAAGCCAGACAAATAGGACTAGTTGAAGGCTAAGATCAGGTAAACTAGTAAAATAATCATTATTCCTCAAAAAAATAGCTACATGAAAAAGTGAGGGAGCACAAAGCTTTTGCTCGGCTGCGGGTGAAGTTATTCAAAAGGCAGGAGATACTGAGCATCATACTAAAACTGAAACTTTCTAACAGTCAAATGGAGTTATATATACTTCCTGATGCTTCCATAGTTTCCTAACACCCTACAGCTGTATGTCTTTAACAGTGTTCCTATTAAAAAAGAGAAAAATAAATAATTTTTTTTAAAAATCACCCTTTTAAAGATAATTTAAGGTAAGTCCTGCATACATTTCTAGGAGGATAGGAAACAACATCTCATTTATGGTGTAAGTTTTGGTCTCAGGCCAATCAAAAAAAAAAAAAAAGTACTTATTCAGTACCAAAGTAACGAGAACAAGAGGAAACAATTTCAGAATTTAAGCTAAACTAACCTCCCACTTGGTTTGAATACTGCACATTTCTCGCAGTTTCATAACAGGATGCTTAACCTACACATATCAACTTGCCTGTTTGTAAAATACTTGGTGCACTAATGTTGCGATATTATAAAATCTGGTCATACCATCAGCAATCTAAACTTACTTGGCCAGCTATATTTTAATAAACATTAATAATGTATCATTTTCTTACATAGCCCACTCTCCCATCCTAACAATAGTACTTAACAGAGCAAAACAAATATTCCAGAAACAGGAATACATCTATTCAAAGCCTAAGACAGTTTTGCAAAAACTACTTCATGGTCTCGTCTCCGAACCTCAGTCAACAACAATGAAAACAAAGGATAAACTTTAATATCTGTCTGAACAAAGCCAGTTAAATCAAATACTTCATATTTGCATTACTTACCCAGTCCCAGCCCTACAAATTCATCGGGTGCCTGATCTTTTGTTCCAGTAAAAGAACCTTCCCTGCCACGCACTGTCCCTGAGATGTAGCGAGGTTTTACTCCAGTTCCTATTAACTGTGCCAGTTCAAGTTGACTGATGCATTTCAGAATCTATTCCAGAGAACAAACAAGTTTTTTATCAACAAACAGCAGTTTGGAATAGTAAAAAATTAATAAATAAAAATCTTTAGGCAGATCTTTAGGGAAAAAAAAAAAAAAATCTAAACACTCAAGGCCAGACAAATATTTCTGTTCTTCTGTCCAAAATGAGTATCAATCTAAATGCTATTGGATTAGTCCATTTTATTTCTCACTTGGACATGTTTTGCTACTTTAATGCATAATGTGCAATTCTACATAATGTATGTACAAAAGTATATACTCGGCACTTATCTAAAAATTGCTGTATTTATGCACAAATAAGTACACTACTACTGTGTTCAAAATCAGTACACACTTTCTTACAGTTTAAATACAAATGACTCTTGTACCTCATGCCAGGAATTTCCTAAATAGTTTCCATCTGTATGAGCCACCGTGATGAGAGTTTTAATTGTATCAATATTCTTCTGCTTCATTTCAGTAATACCAGAACTCACTGTAAGTAACGTAAATCTTGCTAATGCTTGGACATAGGCATCTCTTTCAAGCTACAAATGGGAGGGAAAAGAATTATCTTGTAAGTATTTTAACAGTTACTTGTTCTTTGTACAATCTGTGTGATTTCAGCAACTATATCATTTACCTTTCTCCTCCTAGAAACAAATTTCCAAAGCATTCTACATAGTGAAAATCTCATGTTCTTCTGTAGTAAGCTGTAGGATAAAATCAAGCTCCCTCTATTCAGGAACATGAAGTGTAATATCTGACAGTGTAGAACACACATGTTGTTAGGCTTCTGGGTTTGGTCTTCTTGCATTTCTGGGGGGCTTTTTTGGGAAACAGGATGCTGTTTCAGAAGAAATGTTGCTTCTAAGCTAAACTTTTAATATTCTTGTACTATACCTGGTCATATTCTGAAAATGCTGCCTTAGCAGACTCTCTCAAGTCACAGGATTTTTTTGGCAACCATATCTAAACAATATATCTAAAAGACATGTTTTGCCAATTCCACAAAACTGCTCAAAATGTATTTGATTTGATCTACACTGTTTGGAGCATCTCAGAAGCTTGCGAGGCAAGACTGCCATGGGTAGGTAAACAGCAAGTGACCTATAATCGAGGCAGGTGAAATCAATCTCACAAAAAAGAATGTTCTACACGTAGGTACCTGATTTTTATGTGTAGGTTATCTATAAACACCAAAGGAAACTCCTCAGATCTCATATGAAATGATTACAACACTAAAACGGGGATTACAGTTGAGCTCACAAGTGCGTTTTACTCTCTTGTTTATGTATGATCCCATCAGAGAAACAAATGACAACTATAAAATATATTTACCTGTTTGGATGTTTAAGACTATTTTAAAATAAAATAAAAAAAAATAATTGAGCACATAATAAAACCAAATATAAAATATTACAAAAAAAAAAATCCCAGGAAGAATGTTTGTGTCATAGAGAAAACACAAACACCACAACAGTGGGCAATGACAGAAAGGATGGATTCTCAGAGGCACATGGCATGGCTGCCATGTTGAAACCCAACTGCTCCTACAGAGTGTGCTGGCAAACGCACAGCAAATGATGTATAAGCATAGAAAAATGGAAGTTTCACGGAAAGAGCACTAAGCAAAGAAGCTTTAGAGTCTACAAACTATGTATCTTCTGTGAAAGTAATATGTTTTCAGCCCTACCTTCCCTCTCTGTTCCATACAGATATTCCCCCTCTGCCCTTCTTTCTAAGCCATAAAAGTAGGAGAAAAACAACTAAACAATGCGTCCATCAATGAAGAAAGTAAAAACAGATGATATAAGCAAATTAAGTACATCCTTTTGATGCGTATCTTGTCCCAGATGCTTAAAGACAAAAGACAGACTGTGTGACAGTTTAAGATGAAAAGAATAAATAATGAAAAACAGAATCTTTAATTGAGGTTTTAGAGGTGAACGTGCACAGGTTAAACTATACTGTGTACTTTGAGAATTTTCTTAAAACTAAAAGCCTCCAGCTCCCTCCTTTCTCTCTCAAGGTGCGTAAATTAATGTTAACCATTCTTAGACACCAATCTTAACTTCTTATGTTTATTCAATGAAATAGAAAAGTTGCCAGCACCAGTCAAGGACAAGAGGAAAAACCTGCTTACAACAGAAATAATCCCTAAATCAGCTCAAGTACAGATTTGCCAGTCTCCTTAAAATCACCAGGGCTATCTGGCATCTGAAGTCAGACAACGTTGCCATCTAATCAGGACCTTGTGCAATGGAATCATCCTGTAACATACTGAAATCATCAACAAACCAGTATTGTTTTTAATGAATCAACAAAACAGAATTCCCACACAAAACCAAGAAGGAATATCACTTATACTGAAAATACAAAACCAAGTTTTTAAATTTCAGCAAATGAGAAGTGTTGTTTTTGAAACACATCCAGTTCAATCAAGTTTGTCCCAAACCAATGGAAGGGTTCGACCTTAGAGTAAACGTGTCCTTGCTCTCTCCACCCAAGGCAGACCATTGCAGGACAGGGAGCTCCCTCTGCAGCTGCTGAAACCGCTATTTGTATCAGTTCCACTTTTGCAGCTTAGAAACAAAAATAACAGGAATGTGAATTTCATTGAAGAGCTGCAGGCTCCAGGGAAGGTTCTGTTAATCAAATTTTTAAGTCTGTTCAGTTCGGGGCCCCGGGGGCGGGGAATGAAGTGGAAAGACAGAGGAAGAAAGCCTTACATGATCTCAAAGAGGCTTTTTAAGCAGCTGTATCAGATGTCCCAATGATGGGATTTTCCTTTCCACATCAGTGATAAAAAGTTATCTAATTTGTTAATTACAAGTGCAAGGGGAGAGGGAAGCAAAGCATTCACTATCGTATCACAGTTCGACAGTTTTTACTTCAAGTTAGTCATACAAGGTTGTTGGCTTTTCAGAGGTTGTTTTGGGTTTCTTTTAATGTTTTCAATGTACACATGAAATAATGCAATGTCAAACATGAATTTTGCTTGCCCCTCTCTTCAGCTATCCCTACAATGGACTTACGGCAGACCGGTACTCCATTTATTAACTAATAGTTTACAACAACATAATAGGACGTTCACTACCAATGATTTTAAAATGAAAAAAAAGAAAAAAGGAAAAAAAGTGCCCAAGTTTAATCAGAATTACCCTCTGGAGTCAGAGAGTCTGGAATTCTTGGCACTGTGCTCAATGCAAGATACATTCATGCATTACATCAGGAATGACATTTCCAGTGCCATAACTGTTAAAATGGTATCCAATTATAGAAGTTTCAGATTAGTATAATCTCTCTGAAGTTGAGAACAGTATTTCAAACATAGCTCACAGAGACACTATTTTACTTATGAAACAGGAAAGAAAGACTCATTTTATGAAACAACACAACAAAGCTCAACAGCTTTGTAACAAAGCTAGAAATAAAGTATTTGCCATAAAAGTAGTCCACGTGTGGGGAAATAAAAATTCAGTACATAGGCATGGCAACACTTGCCACAGAACACCGGGAAAAATAAAGGTCGCTTTATTTAAAACACTTTCAGTCAAATATCAGATGATGAAGTAATTGCAGAAGCAGGCAGCTGCTAGGCATTGTAGTGCATAGCTTCAGCAACAAGGACTCTTTGCACCCCACTAACATTTTTCCGGTACATAAACCAAAGTATTGTCTCAATCTTAATGTTTTTACCTGAATGTTGAAAATGCAAGCAATCCTGATTGCACATCGTATACCCTCTAAACAAAGAGAGGCAACTTCTGTGTCATCGCAGTCCTGCAGACCCACACTGAATGCAGCCAGAAAAGGTGTCCATGCCAACTGAAACGTATGCAAAATAAAAGTTACATTAGCAGCTGTTAGTACTTCAAAGGAATGCTATAGTTTCAACATCTTGCTAAAGTGTAAATTCCATCCTTAACTCACATCATTAACCTGAAGCTGCCTTTTGCCAAAAAGGAAATGGAATAGAACAGACATGAGACACAGAATAGGACAGAAGTATGGTTAGAAGAGACATGAGGCACAGAAGAGGATAGACACAATGCAGATTGACGCGCCCCTCAGAAGCACTCTCCCTCAGCAACCTCCATCACACATCACACAGCCCCATCTTCAGATAGCTGGAAAAAAAAAAAACCAAACCCCAAAGCTACATCCGTTAAATGTCTGTTGGAGTTTTGGTATTGGTATTTGGTATTTATTTTTGCACTGTGACATCCGTTAAATGTCTGTTGGAGTTTTGGTATTCCCAGAATAACCTTTATTTTTGCACTGTAAGTAATAAAGATAGTGTCAATAGTTATTGCGTAAACCAACAGAGATTCCTTTATGATGAAAAGTATGTACTTAAGACAAGTTTGTCCTGAGAACACCAGAAGGGGGGGGGGGAAAGGTAGGGTAAAATAGGGCAGCAAACTTTATTAGTTCCACTAAAATTATGGTAACACAACAACAGTAAGAGACAGGACACGACTCTTTCCTTGATCTCTCTGCTCTTAATTTTGTTGCCTTCAGCCCTCCATCTTTTTGTATCTAAGCCACTGCTGACGTTTCCCATTCTTCTTCCCTTAGGTGAGACTGAGAGTGCAATACACTCAACTGAAAGTTATTGCAGGAGAGCCCACATAGTCCTGTCCTTGTGGTCAAGGTTCCCTCTCCCACAGGCAGAAAAAACAATCAGAAAATGCAGAGGGTCCTGCCATAACTACATGTGGTTATGAAGAGGAAACCCCAGGGTACCCAGAACGATTTTAGAAATAATTTTACCTGAAGTCATCCCAGATGAAATACAGAGTCAATGGGCACAACAGGGAGGAAAAGATTTCACACTTCATTTCATAATAAAATGATGCACCACAGAGCTTTGGTTTCATTTAAGCCAGCAATTCCAAAAGCACTACCTCAGAAAAGCATTTAACGCTTGCACATGCTGCACCGTAACTCTGGGATAGTATTAAAGGCATCAGACGAATTCCTAGATCCAGGACTTAATTCCCTATTGCATGAACTTTAAAGGTCTCTTCCAACCCAAACTACTCTATGATTCTATGTTTCAGAAATGTATGTTTCAATCCCCCCCCCCTTCTAATTTTTCATTCCTTTTGAAACAAAAACTAATCTTAAAAATCACTAAACTGGAATACTTTCTTAAGAACTATCTAGAGATCCGTACAGTATGCTTTATAACTAGATTTATGCTGTTATTTACAATAGACTGTTTTGGCATTAAAGGTGAAAACAAAGGCTCTAAAATTGACAACAGATTTTGGGCTCCTTAGGTGGGTCCATAAAATGAATTTTTGTTCTGTTTTAATCATTTAGCAATGATGATAAATTTTATCCTGGCATCAATGGGTGAAAGAGATACAAAGTTTTCTTTATAAAGTTTTCCTGAAATAAAAATTATAAAGTCTAAATAAAAAATGTGAAATAAAATATTTAACTTGCACAGTTCTCACTTTTTGAGAGGACACCTCTCTGTTCAACATATTACACTGTCCTCAGTACTTTAATTAGTTTATGAACATCCTCAAATAAGATGACTTCTAATTCTTAGCACCTTCACAAAAGACGTTTAGGGTGTTAATGGACCCTGATGCTTCATATTTTGCTCCTTTGAAAACAGATTTTGCAAATGTATTTTTCAGATACTAAAGGCTAGAAATTTTATAGAGTAGTAGGGCTGGTATCTTAAGGAAAAATAGTCTATGCAGATGCCTGCATGCAAATTATTTCATTTCAGCCTTAAAGAATTCAACAGAGAGAAATTATGTGCAGTACACCTCTGTTAAGTGACACCCTGAAAACAGATCTTATACAAAGGCTTCATTTAGTATTATTCTGTACAGAGTGCTATCCCTACTTCTATTAATATGGCGATAAAGAACTCAGAAGTTTGCCTCATGGACAGCAGTCTTACAGCTAGATCCTCAGTGTGCCCAGGTGGCCAAGAAGGCCAACAGCATCCTGGATGTATCAGGAATAGTATGGCCAGCAGCAGTAGGGAAGCGATTGTCCCCCTGTCCTCAGCACTGGTGAGGCCGCACCTTGAATACTGTGTTCAGTTTTGGGCCCCTCACCACAGCAAAGACGTTGCATTGCTGGAACGTGTCTAGAGGAGAGCAACAAAGCTGGTGAGGGGTCTGGAGCACAAGTCTGATGAGGAGCGGCTGAGGGAACTGAGGTTGTTTAGTCTGGAGAAGAGAAGCCTGAGGGGAGTACCTTATTGCCCTCTAAAACTACCTGAAAGGAGGGTGTAGTGAGATGGGTGTTGGTCTCTTTTCCCAAGTAACAAGTGACAGAACGAGAGGAAATGGCCTCAAGTTGCAGCAGGGGAGGTTTAGATTGGACATTAGGAAAAATTTCTTCACCGAAAGGGCTGTGAAGTGTTGGAAGATGCTGCCCAGGGAAGTGGCTGAGTCACTGACCCTGGAGGTATTTAAAGGACGCGTAGACAGTGCTTAGGGACATGGTTTATTGGTGGACTTGACAGTGTTATGTTAATGGTTGGACTCTATGTTCTTAAGGGTCTATTCCAACCTAAGTGATTCTTTGATTCTTGAGCCTGGACCTGGAGCTCAACCTGACCTCACATCACTCCAGGGAACCATTTGTTTATTGTAAGGGTAGTGGTCTGAGACTTTCCCTCCCTGGAGCAGTTCACAGAGGGATCACATGAGGACCACTACTTGCACAAGGGCAGCAAATGAGAGCGCATGGTAAGGGCACAACAATTTATTCAGTGGCAGTTAACCGTGATGAGACAGTTATGCCAAACACCATATCCAATAGTATCCTGAGGCGTAATACACTACTGAACATACTCTACATCTACCAATCTGAATCACTAGTATGGAAAAGGCATTTGGGATGCGGACAACTTCGCACCTACACAATAGTGAAGACATTCTAACCAAGAATAATGATTTAATACAGGTCCAGCTACCTCCCCCAAAACTAGGTGACAGTCCTGGCCTTGCTGAAATATTACTTTGCAACAGACAACATCAGACGAAGTCTGTTCTGATAATTGCTTCCCCAAAATTCAATGAAGTAATCTCCCTTAGAAGCAGCAGGAGGGACTCAAAAAATGAACTGGGATTAGTCATTTCTCACTTTCTTAAATCTGTTGTTTTGACTACACCTCTACATCCAAAATAAAAATCCGTTTAACTACTCTTTATATACTTTTGTCCCCTCAACATACGCCTCGTAACTCCTCCATTACATCAAGATGCTGCTTCTATGAGCGTAGAAACTTCTTAAATCCCGGGGTAAATATAACTGGAGTAGAAGGCTCAAAATTCCCTTCTTTCCTGTAGCAAGCTAAATAACTTATGAAACGATCAAAACATAAGACACAAATCTTCAGTATTTTCAACAAATCCTGTCAGTCAATATTTTGTATTAAGGAACGATGCGATATTCTAGGTAAATAGCTAAATGAATCTCTCACCTTAAACATGGGTCTCACATGCTCCAGGTGTGTTGCACTAGTAAAAGGTGCCTGAACATGGCTCACTGCCTCCATAAGAGCTTTAGCTGTTTTAGCCATTTGTTCCATTTCCAAATTATATAGGAGTCTTCTCTGCTTTTCACTAGCAACACCTGTAAACACATTTTTTCCTCTCATTCGTCCATCTTTAGCAGTGGTGTATTCAGGAATATAGTAACTTTAGATCTTTAGCGCCATACTCAGATGCATTTTTGGTATTATATTTACTTTCTGAAATTACCACACCGGCAAGATACTTCTTTTACAAAACAGATAAAATTTAACTTAAGAAAAATTATGTTTGAAATGTAACCTAATTTTAAACCTTTACAGAATTTTAAGATTTGCACAACAAACATTTCTTCTCCATCATCTCAACTGACAGCATAAACATCATGTTCACTAAGCTAAATTCTAAGTGAACTGAAGTTTCACAGCAATCCATCAACACAGAAAATAACAATAAACATAAGTGGACATCCTTTTTCTGAGTGAGAACTACGTTAATCACCTTTTCATTTCAGTAATGGAACCTTCATCTCAGCAAGAAAGTGAAACGCAAGTCGAATGTAATAATCAGCTTCTTTAAAATGACAATAAAAACATTACGCTAATTGAAAGAATATTGAAAATAAGAGGGATTCTTTTTTCCAGAAGCCAACTTCCTGTAAGCAATCTGTTCATAAGGCTAACCTAGGACTTAAAAGTATACAAATTTGACTATGCTGGGAAAAAGTAAAGTCTTTCTTAATGTCCCCTGTAGAAAAGCTAGAACGAATAACATCTGAATCTTCACATTGTGAAAAACACAAAGAAGTTTTCATGGTATTTGAGAGAGGAAAAGATAACTAATTTTAAAAGTTCATAAATTAGGGCCCTACAAACCAAATAAGGCAGAACTTTCGAAGATGACAGACTCGTTATTGCAGGAACACACAACAGTTGCCTTAGAAATGGAAGGCACAACTACTGTGTTTGTTCTGCACTATGCCTATCAACATCACTGTTAATTCAAAGCCCTCAAATGCATTTCCCTATGTTGCTGTTCAACAGCAAAAGCTGTCTTTTCCACAGAAAATGCACCAAATACCAGAAATTCAGGTGCAAAGTGAAATGAAAACAAGAAGTTGCATTTAACACAGATTTGAAGGTACAATCATGCATTTATGTTAAAAGGAAAAGAATATGGAATTAGAAGTTAGGACACATTTTGAGTTAAGTAAGTGCTACTTGCTTCATTCATCTCATTTTAAAAAGGAGATAGCTTCACGAAACAGAAGTCAACACTTTCAAGAAAGCTAACAGTGCAACCACTTACTTTGTTTACTGGATTTTGTGGGTATTGTTAACTCCTTTGTTTCTTTCATTGAAATCTTCTTTCCAGCTATTTCATTATAGATAGCAGACAAATATTCTTCAGGGAGGTCTTTACTGTCATTGATACCTCTATTCATTTTAATATACTGTTCTTTTGTCATTTTATTCTTAACCTGAAACCCAGAAAGAAGCTATTAATATCAGCAAATATGGCAAGTTCCTGGCAATTACAATGCCACCTACAAAGCAGCCAAACAGGTGAAAAGTTACCGTCATCAAAGACAAATCTGCTGATTCAGAAGACATTAAGTATCCAACATATGCGAGACTACACTGTCAAATTTACAAAAATAATGCAAGGCCATGTGGACATTGCAACACTCACAAACATTCAGTAGGATACAGAGATCAATTAGACATACATTACAAAAAAAAAAAAAAAAAAAAAAAAAAAAGAGTATTTTGTCTTCTCCTACAGATGAAGCTATCTATTTTAAACATAATCCCATAATCTCTTAAGAGTTCAATACTCTTTCCAGATTTCGCTTAAATAATGGATGATGGCTAATCACTGCAACTTTGAATATTATGCACTGCAGAAGTGAGCTGCTATTTATCAAAATAAGGCCGCATTATTTTTTCCAGACAGACTGAAATCAGGAGCAGATTTCTGTTAAAAAAATCAATGGGTAAGTAATTACAAGTTCTGGCTTTGACTGTCACTACTGTGAGTACCATAATGTGAAAGCAAATTCAACACAGAGTAGGGAAATGATACCTTACAGAAAGGTCTAACCAAAACAACTTAAAAATCTTAACACCCATGAAACACAATACTGTTACTTAAGAGATGCACAAACTTAAGCTACCGTTATTTCTTATACACACATTGGTGTTGAATTTAACATCAAGCTGTTACAACTACATTGTCACAAAGCCTGGAAGTTAGAGGTCTATGGATTACACAAATATTTCTTCTAGCAACATACCTGTGGACTGTGAAGATCTGTTGTCAACATGATAATTGAGTAAGCTAAAACATATGCAGTATCTGCACTAGCAAAAAGAGTTTGCCTGAAGGGGGAAAGGAGAAAAGAACAGCAAATTTAACGTATTAGGATTTTTTTACTTATTATTCAGCTTTCCAAAGTTCTGAAGACAAAGTATGGCTTACCCTTGGTTACATTCTAAATATCTAGCAGCAAATTTCTCCATTAGGCGATCAATTTTTTGAGCCTCTCCTGGAAGACGAAATCCCTCTAGAAACATGCGCAGAGCTGAAACAAAATCCTTTCCTGAAAAGTCGTGTTGGTCTACATATGCATACATGACTTCTTTGTTAAATTTATCATTGTCTCCCAGGAACTCCCCAACCTGAGTCTAAAATAAGAATAGAAAAGACAAACTAGTGTGTTTACACTGGGAAGAAAACCCAACTAAATAAGAACAACAGAGTCTCACAAGAAGAGAGGTTTCTATGCAGTTAACTAAGACATATTCCTGCTTCTCCTCTATTCTCTAAAGCAAAGTATTTTGGCCATATATTCCATTATAATGCTCTTACATGCTCCTATCTGCCTACTTTCCTCCTCTGGTTTTACACATGTACCATTTTTTTTTCTATTAGATGAATTCCACAAGTACACAAGACAAAGTTAATATTACCAATAATTGATCATATTCGCTGCTGTAATGATTTTTGCAGTTAGAAACAAACTATAGGAATGAAAAGCTTACTAAACTCAATTTTATTCCCACTAGAGTATGTATCTCAAAACGGGTGCTAGTGCTGCTTGAATATAAATAGCCGGTACCCAAATACATCCAAGTTGGTCTGTCAACACAACACAGTACAGTGAAAAATACTGTGCATTCAGATAAAGACGCCTGTGCATGTAAAATGAGATTAAAAATTTGTTTTGATGGCTGATTCTAAATTCTAATACTGAAATTTGTGACTTCAGTCACAGTTGCAAGCCTGGGCATCTAAAAGCCTTTCCTTAGAAAACAATGGGGGTGGCTACTAAGCAATGGTAGCATATGCAATGGTGCAGATTGCCATTTCAGAAAGCTAAATTTTTCATTACAATACCAACATGAGATATTCCCACCCTCCTCAGCCAGATATTGCAGGACCCTTCCAAGTCCAGCAACAGCTGCTAGGTGTAAAAAAAAAAAAAAAAAAAAAAAAAAATATCAAAGACCTAATCTAGATTAAATAACCTTCCTTTGGAAGGCAGCAAAAAACACTTTTCATGTTGTTGCACCACATTATCTTTTAGCCCTTTCTTAAGGACAGTTACTTCTGTCAGTCCCCTCATTGGATTAAGTACATACAGTTTAGTAAGTTGCTTCTAGCTATACTAACAACTAAGTACAAGTTTTGAGTCAGCTCAAACAAGTCAGCCTTTTCCTTTACACTTCACTGAACTGCAGGATGCATATAGTACAGGGTATAGCTCTAATGCCTACTCCAATTCAAATTCCTTGAGCTTACAAATTTTAGGAAAGGGAGAAGTTTCCTTTTCTTCATTGTACAATAATGTTATATACTTTAAAACACTATCATGTGATTTGCAATTAGTATAAAAACATCAGCATGAGCAAAACCAACCATCAGGAAAAGAGTTTTCTTACTGAATCTAGTCTTTCCTCTTGATGCAAGAACTGAGCAATATCTTCAGGGGTAGTGCCAAGCATTCCTTGTTCTTGCAGGTACTGAATCCCCCTCTTTGGTTTCTTATTGAATCTGTACAATCAAGATCAAGATGGAATGAGAGTTAACCCTTTTACACATGCACAAAGCCTTACCAGCTTAAGTAAAAAGATACAGTAATTTTGGATGAGCTATTGAAAATCTAAGTATTAAGCATTTTTCCTTTAGCAAACTGTGCATTAGACAGGAATGAGCTATTCCTTTCTATGATTATTCCCTTCATCACTGGATGGTTTTATGGAATTTTTTTCCCCTGTAAATAGCCTCCTCTTCCTCTTTGCTACATAACTGCCAGCATGGCATCCAAGCAGCTCCCAGTAAAGACAACTAAACACTATCATTTACTCTGGCATTCATGAAGAAAAAAATACTCCACAGAAATAGCAAAGTCTTGGTTTGGAAAGGAGTAATTATGCTCTGTTGCTTTTTGTTTTAATCTGTATGAGACAATCAAGAAATCCATGAGTTGCCTGTAAGAATGGAAATGTGTAAGACAAGGAACTGAAAGAAAATTAAACCCTGAAGGACTAAGGCATGTTTGTTCGGGGTCTGAGAATTATACTACAGAAAACTTTTATTTTTCAATAAAGTGACCTCACTGAGGAAGTAAGGTGACAAGGCTGAAAACCTTGTCAGACAGGAAGATTCATGTCAGGCAGTACTGAGAAATTATACTATCCTCCAGTTCTAAGTATGACAAGTTAATTAATCAGAAGGAAGTATCAGCTTAAACATATAGGCACTTTCATTAGTAATGTGTATGCTAAAACAGGTCATATTCAACTGATCACGAGTGCAATGTTCTTTTTACCCAAATATAAAAATCTTATTTTTAGACAAGCAGGTCTGGAGAAAAAAGAACAAACATTCAGAGTACTCATCTTCTAGCTGTGAGGAATTAGGTTAACACAAAACACTGTTGACAGGCTCCAAAGGGGACACCATTCAGCACTCTTTCACCAGAGGAAGTGCTGTTACATCCAGAGTTTTTTTCCTAACACAAGATGAGTATCTATGAGGAGAAGGAAGAAAAACCCAGGAATCTTCATAGCTCCAAAAGAATCCACCCTCCCATGGGTGATAAAAGGGCACTCACAAGTCAATTCCTTGTTCTATTATTTCCTTTTGTTGCTTTAGGACCTCAAACTGCTCTGGGTTGTCAGTGCCAGACATCTGTGTGCTGTAACTGCCAATTCCTGATGAAGCAGTAGAATCCAAGGAATTTAAGCTTCCATATCTGTTAATTGTCTCAGGGTGTTTGGTTTCATTGCTGTCCTGTTCTGTTGGTTTTTCTTGGCCTATAAATTGGAAAGGGTCACATACATACAAAACATATACAGTGAAAAAAAAATTAAAAATCACAGATTATTCTTCAAATCCTCTCTGAAGGCTTCTAAAACTTTATTAGGGTTATCTTCAATGATTACTTGTTTTTATATACATATTCTTCTTTTGTTTTGGTTGGGAAAACAAAAATAAATTTAAAAAAAAAAAAATATCACAACATATCAGGGAGTATTCTTTCAGTCCATCACATACCTGAAATTTAAGCCTTAAATTACACCTATAATTTGTAGGCACTTGGAAAAAAATACACGACACCTTTGAAACCCAATTACAGATCTTTCTTTTTATTTTCAAGTCCGATGTTACTTTTGACCTGAAGTGAATCACACTATTCTAAGTTTTTGAAACAGTGTCTAAAAGTGTTTATGATCAGACATGCCAAGGAGCTGGTGCTCTCAGCTCACAAAGACAGACGTGCTAACCACCTCTAAAAAGGTTATTACTTCACCTACCAGTTTTAATTGCTTAACCTGAAAATTCTGGTATAACCTCAGTACTTTTCATCTCAGGTCAGATGGAAACAAGAGTAACACAATTAATAATTTACTGACATCACTGCTTACAACACTGATAGCTCCATAGCTATATATTAATAAATTAAAAAAATGGTCTCCATCCAGCCTGCTTCAGTAGTAATTTAATCCATAAGAAGTTAGATGAAATTAAGGGAGCTTCAAAGTTTTGTGATCCTTTTAAAATTAGAAATACAGAAAATAACAGTATTTAGTAATTTTCAGTGTAGTAGCTTTCTAAGAATTCATACAATTAAGAAAACACAAGTTAGACAACTTGTTCAAATGACACCAATCGAAACATACCAATATTTCTACCAAAGAAAAACAAAGTTTAGTCTCTCTCTTTTTTAATGCAAGAGGTTTTACCAATCTGGACACTCACAGTATCAAAATACTGGAAAAATGCACTAAACTCCTGCAGCAACTCTTTACTAAAGCCAGAAGAAACACATCCCATGTCTTACCAAGTGTTGTCTGAGAATTGGGATTTACGTATTGATCCTTACTCCACTCCACCATGCACTTCAAGATCGATACTAAGCATTCCAATCCTTTTTTTCTCAAACTTAATTCCTAGAAAAGATTTCAAAAGCAATATATCAGTGGAATGGAGAGTTTAGTCTTAACCTATCATGCCAAGAAACATGAAGCTTCATAAAGTTTGGTGGAATTTTTACCTGCACATTGGACATGCCAAGTTCTTGGCTACCCCTTCCTTGAGCAATCTTTGATAGGTCATTAACCAGCCTTTCAAAAATATTTGCTGCATTTAAATCACAATCATAGTTCACGTAGATGTCCACTACACTCTGGGCATCTACAAAAAAAGTGACATTGTCAAACTTGGAACGAAAACCAGAACATTCAGTGAAAGGCAAGTACAGTTTTGTTCTTTAGCATAAAAATGTCCAACCAAATGGTCCTTAGTACCTGCACATATCCTTGTCAGAGTTTGTATAACCATCCATTTATGATCAAATGAGCTAGTAGAAGTTTCCAAGATATACAGGAAAATTTCTTTGAAGAAAACCTAACAAACATTCCAGAAAGAGGGAGAAAAAATAAAACTATTATAAACACAGTCACTAACTTTGACGGCCAATATTCTGACATAATTCTGAAAGCAGCATTTTAGAGGTACAGGAGATAAGGGAAAAAAAAAAAAGGAGGAAAGGAGGAAATACAACTTATGATTGATACATTCAAATTAGGAATTCAAATTATTACTTATGTACTTCCAGAGTTTTGTCCAGAGGAAAAACTGGGTTTGTATTATGATCACTGAAAACCAGAAGAACCAGGAATGATGTGAAGTCCTGAAGCCAATTCTGCCTAACAAGAAGTCTAAGCTGCTGTTAAGAGTTCATTTGGGGTTTTGAAAGGAGATGTATTACCTCACTACAAAAGATTTTCTCTATGAGATGATATTATTATGGCACAAACATAACAAACAGCCACTTATGCCAATTTAAAGTATCAGACCTTCATTAGAAGGGAAACATCTTAACGCAGAAGAATCACTCTATGGTATTAGATTATTGGAAGAAGGGTACTGGTCAGGCACAGCATAAAAAATGCAGCAGGTCCATTAATAGGAAAGTTACTCTTCCCTAAAAGAGATACTAGCTTTCCCTGAAATCACTTTAGTACAGGTGCTTTTGTTTGGAACTGAGACTATTTTATCCCCTCTCAAATAGTTTCTTACCAGATCCATTAGTATTACAGGCAGGCTATTTCTGCTGAGCATGCTTAGCAGCTAGGGCAGGTTTTTTCTCACTTCTTCCCTAAGCAGCAGCAACTGCTGTAACAGCATATGAACTCAAAATGTGAACTGCTATGTGGCATTACATCACCATCCCACACAGCATTACATCACCGTTCTGCACTTCTGAGAGCTCACCTCTTTTCATAGCCAGTTGTGGCTACCAAATCCACCAACATATGTTTTTTCTAGAATGCTGCTGATAGTCTCAAGCCGTCAAGCTCCTCTTCTCTGATAGCAGCACACAAATATCTGAATATATAACTGCCCTTCTTTTAATATTAGATGTCCCCTTATACCACAGAATTTTTAGAGGTTTTTATGCTATTAGCCAGGTAGAGATAAACATAAGGCTAAGTTGTCACATGTTCAGGGAAAACCAGCAATACTGATTTTTAAGCACTTTGATGGTAAGCTATTTCCTTAAGCAAAATATGCTAACAGTATCTCAATTTTATTGGCCTCTTTAGAGCAAAAGAGACACACAGCACAATCCCAGTTACTAGTCTTAATAAGGAAAGCATCCCTACAAAACATAAGGAGTTCAACACATAACAGATCAAAGACTTTCAAGCGCTTAAATATACTCAAGAGTACTAGGCTGATTTTAGCCACAACTTTACGTAATACAAACAGAGGAAGACAAACAATTTTAATAAAGGTCATGCTATAAGCAATCCTTAGTTACATATTTGCTGTTTTCTGATTTTTTTACTGAAAGATAGTAATGGTATATACCCTCTGGAATGAGGAAAATAATGTTTTTCTGGTAGAGAATTTAAAAAAAGAAGTCACTGATGGAACAGAGAAAAGAGATCTAAGTATAAAAATTAGCCCCAAATCTAAGCTAGAAGAGAAATTATCTGGAAGGTCTGCATACTACAAAGACACTTTAGATGTCTATGCTTCTGAGACAGAGCCGACTTCTTGCTTCTGGTGTCAACTTTGGAAAAGCATACCTTGGAATGAACAGCTTCTCAGAACTGTACTGATTATTTACATTTCAGATATCTGTCACTACATTACTTATTGCAATTCATGTCACAGAGTTGAGACTTTATTCCTAGCATATAGGAAAAGTAAACCAGAAAGAGAGCTCATTGTTTAATTTGGTCAATTGAAAATAAGAGTTTTAAGATAGCTTATTCACAATTATGAAAGGATGGTAATGGTAAGTACAGCTAAATTACACCCCAAGCCCCCTGATACCTAGGACTTTATTTGCTGCAAATAATATTCATCGACCCATTGAGAAACACAGTTACAATACAATGAAGGTACAACTCAAACTATTTTAACTATCAGAGGGCAGTGTTAGCTGAATACCGAAGTCAAAGGACCAAGGGAGGGTCACTTTCAACAGAATCTGAAACTATTATTTTAAAAAAAATATCAAAAATTTCTTACACAGATGAAGAATGCAGCCTCAATCCCAAAATATATAGATTTTGCATATTATAAATCAGAGCATATGGCTCCCCTTACAGCTCCAAGACACAAACAGAATGTGAAGTTATCTACTTGTCTACCCACATCTTCTGAATAACCTTTAGGATCAGTAGCTGAAAGAGAGGAATTCTTAGCTCACAACAAGGAAAGAGAGTAAGTTTCTAGAAATTGCTGTCTCCCATACTTTGTAATAGATAGATACTTTGGCAGCATCAAGCTTTTGGCTTTCATATTTGTGAGGAGGAAATGCAGCCCTGCTATGTGGTGATGGTCCTATTTTAGCATATTCTAGAAGCTGCTACAATACTGTAAGGTATCCTATATCCAACTTTCCTCAGATGTGTCTTCATTTTCCGTTTGGAATTTGGAGAAAGGATGGTAGCGATGGAAGCTCATCAAATTTCTGTCAGGGAAGCCGGGTTGCAATGCATTTACCACCTACACGCTGACTTGTAAGCTCTGCGAACACACAGCAACTCCAACATTTTCTAGGAAGCAGGCTGTGTGACTGAAGAGCAGCTCAGCTCAGCCTGTCTGATGTGCTGAATACTGCACATGCATTACAGTCTTGTTGAACACACACAGTTTCTCTTGAAAGTCTTCAAAATGCATCATATTTTCAAGGCATATTCAATCAATCACCAAACCTGTATTTCTATCCAAGCTAGGCTCAAGAAAATAGGGGAAATCCTGTTGTTTCTTCCCCCAAAAGGCATCAAAATAACCTGGTAAGTGATCAGAACGCAGTACTTTTCTGACATGGTACTGGCAAAATAAGGTTCTTCCTCCAAAGCTGCCACAACCCATCAGCTTATACAATGACATCCACAGATGAAGAAATCCCTGAATTCAAGGGCCTTAGAACAGCAACAGTATCAACATTTCTCAGCATCTTTTCAGGCACTTAACTTCCACACTTAGGGTGCAATCTGTAGGCTTCAGTATTCACATCAACTCCCAAAACATAAAATTACCAAAATGAACAGCAGGAACACACTACTACTTTATTCACCATGGAATTCAGATCTGTAACACATGGGACACACAAGAGGGTATCCATGTGGTTCAAATGGACAGAACCGTTCCAAGAAGCTGCTCGTACACGAAGGCACAAGAGTTAGAATTCAAGAGCAAAGCCTCTACGTATGTCTTGCTTTCCCCTGTGACTTAGAATATATCACCCCAGTGATAAAATTCGCAATGTCTGTCAGGACTCTGATAACGCTTATTGCTAAGAATATGGACTTATCTCTACTTATGCCCCAAGGCATTAAATCACGCGTATACCTTCTGAGATCTGAAAAAATTAGATTATCTTATTCGGGACATATTATTGATGTAGGCCCTGATATACAAGGGGAAGTGGCTACAGTAATCCAATAGCTGGGATTTCTCTAGAGAAATCTGTCCAAGTGACCTCAAAGAGAATCCACAATGCATTTCAAGTCATTAATTTTTATTCTAAAATTCCTTTGCAAAACCATATTACATAGTCTTTTCATAAGCGTACTTATTTTCTTAATTTGCACTATGTCGCGCAGAGCTACAACTTCCTAAGCACATTATTCAACATTGGTTGACCGAGCTTATCCACAAACCGACTGATTTCTGAGTTTCAGCATCATTCTGCAACAATACCATGTCACAGCCAACAGAAAACTCTGCTTTTACATAAAGGAAACTAACTCATATAGTAACAGTAGTGAGTATGGTCATAATAAGTTATGATTGTAAAAAGTCACCTCAGTCACAGAGTAAATGAAAGCATGTTTTGCACTCTAAAATTTCTTAGTTTATGTTAATGTCTATTGTTAAGCGATGAAATGGCCTACCTCTTTATTATGTACTTCTTTTCATGTTCCAGTTCAAAAATGATGGAAATTTTTTTAAACAGCCCTACAAAAGTTTTCCCATCGCTTTCCACTTAACACTACCACATGCGTCACATTACTTTTGATGTTACAGAACAAATCTTGTTTAATCCGTAAGTACTCCAAAAGAAATGCTGCTTTTTTATTTGAAGGGGTTTTCAAGGGCATTGTTGCAAGCAATTGTTGCCACTGGGTGAAAAAGAGCTTCTGTGCATGGGAAGATCTGGCAAGTCTTACACAAAAGCTGAGATTCATAAAGCAAAACAAATTTATCTAAGGAAGACCAAGCTACACACCAATATAAACAAATGCTCACCACACCCCCCATCCCTTAAAATTAGAAATTCGTGTGACATACCTCGATCTGCATCTTTAGATGAGTCTTAAAGTTTGAGAGGAGGGTAAGAAATATGGAAAGTGAAAGTTCAAAAACTTCTGGAACTGATGAGACTCCGTTTTTTGACAGTGCAACACAAAGGTACTGTTTAATAGCATTAATAAACATCTCATTTGTCCTGAAGACAGGTCCTGCATTTTGCAGAATGGACAGAAGCAACTGCAATGAAAGAATCTTTGATCGCAGTTCATGAGATCTAGAATAAAACAATGCAGCATATCAGCTCAGTGCAAGTCATAAAAATACAACATTGTCCTGAAAAGTAAATACATACCACAATGATTTTTTTAAAGTGGAATGTTCATGAAATAAACTCAAATTTGACACAACCTGGTGTAGAAAGAGTAACAAAAAGATGTTGATCTTTTTTGTCGAAGCTGCCACTCTCCAGCCAAGAAGGTGGGCAAGAATAACCTTTTCCAGTTACTGTTTCTCCCCATTACTATTGAGCCACTCTCCCTTCTACAGCACAGCACCGCAGAACAGCAGCAACAGTAGGCAGTGCTGCCCATCTTAGCCAGAGGATGAAGGGAGCATTCTTTCCTTTTAATGAGTTTTGGAAGATCCCATCTAAAATATCCAGCCCATCTACAGAACCCTGACTAGCAAAAGATGGAAACTCCTCCTCCTCTATTTCCACCAGCATGGAGAGTTGAAGGACCATAAAGACAACAGCTGTACTGCCTCACCTACTTCCTCTCAACACTGAAATCTCTTTTCCCAAATACAGTATTTTATATTGTTTGTCAGTCACTGGCCCCATCCCACTCCAAGAGCAGCTAAGATAGATAACATGCCTATTTTAATCATGGCAATAACAAAGTCAGGCAACTGCCACGTTGTCAAGTGCTCCACGGTTAACATCATGCTTCTTACAGACTGAAGTAAGCTAGAATTCATGTCAGAACAGTGCTACTATTTATGCTAAAAGTGAAAAAGAAATCTGCATCTATGAAAATATAATGCAATTTAAATAGCATTCTGGGTGAGAGCATTCTCTCCTCAGACTCCTGATGCTCCTTCCCACTTCTGATCATGTCATGAAAGACTATAGCTCTTCTGAAGAGCAGGTATAGACACAAATGGCCTTCCCAACGAGACAGTCCACAGCTTTCATTGAACAACCACCCACTGACAGAAGACAGTTATGAAACATAAGGAACAATGACAGGAAATTTTTCATACAGAACAGCCCAGACATGGGTAAGGAGAGCAGCGCTTCAAGTCAACAGGTAACACACACACTAGTTGGCTATTTGCTGTATACTGCAAAAATATGAGTTTAATGAAAAAAAAAGTAATTCCAGTCTAGCCAAAAACAAAAATACAAATTAATTACAAGTATGTTGCAAATAAACTCAATGATTTCTGCACACTGGCAAACAAAGCCAACCAACAAAAATCAATCTGCAAACATTACAAACTCAGAATATAATCCCAAACTTAGACTTTCTGTCTGCAGAGACTTTTGAGAAGCAAAACACAGCCAGTCAAACTGAGTGAGGAACTTGTTCCTCTCATTCCTCCCAATGGGCTGCAGGTCAAAGTAAATGCCCCAAAACAGCCCTTTGCAGGAGTTCTTCAAGAAAATGCCTGGCCCTGGACACTGCACAGCTGCATGGAACCTAACATAACATTCTCCTTTGATGCAAAAGGCTTGATTTTTGCATCACATTGTATCAAGTGTACAGACAGCACATGACCAGACCACACTTTGCTATGAAATGTAAGAATTTAAATATGAAGACAATTTCAATCATAAACAAAATATTAAATATTGCCTACTTCCAGCAAGTGTCATCTCATAACTGAAGTCTTAACTTGCTGGCCTTACCAATTCTGTATGATATGTAAAGCCCACTTAATTTAAAACATGTTTAAGGACTAAAATTTAGCAAGTGAACCTTCAAGACATTTCTCCCCCATCTTATTCTATTCCAGGGAAAAAGGAGATAGACATTAAGCAGGTTCCCAGGAAGCATAACCTTGATCTCAATTCCCAGCCCTGTGATTCTGAGTTAAAGCTCCATGTCCAGTTACCTAAAATTAAAAAATTAAATTAAAGAACTAAAGAATTCATAGCTAATTTCACTGGAAAGATGATTTTAAAGAGGTAGATAAGACTTTTTTAAAATGCTGTAGATATCCTACGCCTCCTCTTCCAATTACAGCATGCTTGTAATAGTTCAAAAAGCCATCAATGCCTCAGAACCACTGATAAATTCTAGGCAGTTCTCCAAACACAGGATGTCTTTGAATGCCTTTGCAGCTAGTTCTTACTGCCCTAAATGCCGTTTCCTCCAATTTGTTCTATGTGAAGAGCTTAATCAGTTTGAATATGAACATCAAGGACTCCATGGATTCAAGATGAGGTGCTCCAAGTGCCTCAATAGCTATTGCCGCTCTTCTAGAGGTAGTTAATCCATTAAAGCCTTTAATAAATGGACAGCCTTAGTCTCAGAGAACTAACTAAAACCACAAAATTTTCATGGCATTTCCTGTAAGACAAATTCTCAAAAACAGCGAGGAAAAACCTCATGCCACAGTCTTCATTCTTGAATGTCCTGACTTTCCACAGTGCATCACTAGGTAACAATTTCAAAATGGTTCTAGACTAACCCTTCAAAACCTTTTCTACTAAACCGTATTTTTTTCAGCTTAGTAAGTCCACAATACATATCAGTGATCAAATTCAACTGTCTTAAGAGCTATTTTCTTTAAAAGCTAGACCTCTTGGAAATTATTACCAATTGTTCTTAACGTGCAAAAAAAGATGCATGTAAATTCTATCCAAGATCAGAAAAGCAAAGTTATTTGCCAGCACTCACAACTGACTAATACTGGCACCCATCCATAGAGGAGAAATTTTTTTTGTTGTTGTCTACAACGAACAATTCTCTAAGCCAAATTGATACCAACTGGTAACTTCTTTCAGAGGACAAGATGAAGACACTGTTTTCAAAAACATTTGTGTGTTGATTAAGGAGACTGTCAAATGTGTCCAACCTGAGCAAAAGAATGAAACACTAATAAATTTATCATAACCAGTATCAGACCAAAGTGAGGAGCTTATATTAAGATGATGTAGGTATATTAGGAGTTGGGTATGTGTACTGGATACCGAATATGCAAGAGCTTTAAAAAACTGTGGGGCATAAACAGAACAGTTATGAACCGAGTTATTACTTAAAAGCAGAGCAACATTAGCCAAGTCCAAAAAATACCTGAGGATCTTCTTTACAAACCCTTCTGAAAAGCATTTTAAAGAGCAACTAGGAAGAACATGATGTACTTAGAGGAAGCATAGGCATTGTTAAGAAACTTATAAACAAGTAGATAGGTAGCAGCATTTGCTTTCATTTAACATACAAAAGATGCATTAAAACATGAAAGTACCTTTTCAAAGTTTCTAGGTTCTTTTTACCATACTGTTATTTTCCCAGAAACTGAGGCCTCTCAAAATTATTTAAATAACTTATTTTTATTTTCAAATAGAAAAGATTCATTATGAGAACTCTTAATTCTACTTACTTTGGATCTGGTGGTCCATCTGACAGGGGCTTCATGGAGAGTTTACACAGTGACCTGAATACAAGGAAGGCATCCTTTTGTAAAATGTGGGAAAACTTAGCACCAGGGGTAGGTCCTGAAGAATTTCCAGATTCCTAAA